CGTTCGCTTTCTAGCGTTCGGCAGTTGGCAGTTAGCAGTTGGCTTTGGTTTGGGACACAAGTGATTTTGACATTATCTGTGATAACGATTATGAGTTGACTTCTTGTTTGGATTTGAATGGATGTCATAACCACAAAAATGACGATGAAGACAAAAATTACAACGGAAAATAACGGAGGAGATGTTGCTTTGTAACTGTAAACTTAAAGAAGTTCACAGTTTTGATGTCGTCTAGAGTTGCCTTTGGTGCTGTATTGCATTTAGTTTTATAGTATATTTGCTTGTTGTTAGAGTGCATCACAATTATTAAATATTAACTCAGATTTTGATTTATGATATGCAAGTCATTTCCTTTGTCACACAGGTGAGAAAAACGCTGCATCTATTTAACTTATCTTCTGTTTAAACAGTTGCACTCAGAATTTTCATAACAATTTTAAAGTTTATTTTTGTCTGTAATTTTATTTGTATTTTGTAAATCTAATAAATCTTTGTTAATTACTTACTTAACAATACTGTACGTATAGTGCATAAAAGAGTATACAGAATATATATTGGAGAGGTGCTAAGACTTATATTACAGCATTAAAGTTTGCTTTTAGTAAATACATATACAAACTATATATTTTATTTTGTTAATATAAAAATTAAATACATATTCAAACACAGATTTGGGAAGAGTAGAAGTGATAAGACTGTTACAGATAGAGGCTATGAATTTTGACAGTAGTATCTAGTATAAATAGTTAAATGATACAATGACTATGCATCTTTTGATGTAAATATTCATGAATCAGCACTTAAGATAAATATTTTGTTGATTTATTAAATAATAATTATTAAGAAATGTTTTGTAATTAAAAGCAAATAATATAAGTTAATACAAGGCGGACCCACTTCAAGCTACTATAACTTTAGAACTTTAGAACTAACTTTAGAACTTTATCTAAAAACTCATTAGAATTTTAACTAGCGTTAGCAAACTAGATCAGTTATTTTGAAACTATTTCTTCTCAGATGGAACTCAAACTTAATAGTGTATTCGCGTTACACATGTAAGAGAAAACAATAACACATCAACACGAATAAGGCTTCTATATATTAAATAAGACATTATAACTAACTAATAATAAAGTTGCTAAATGCTATAGACGGTGAAACCTACAGCTGCGGTAGAAATCGTACACAAATTTACCATATGATTAAAAACTGAGCTGAGCATTATCTGTTGTGATAACTGAATTTCCTAATAAAGCAATTCGTTAGCCAAAGAAAAAAATTAGAATTAATTATTTATTGTGTTTACTTAGCTTTAAGGTAAAAGGAATATCTAGATATTCGAATAATGTCTAGTAGTCAAGCACTACCATATATGATAGTCAAAATTTAAGCATTTAAATAGTAACAGGATGTCAAACACCAATATTTGTAATGATAGTAGCCTGTCGACTGTCAATATATTTTGGTGTTTTTTACTCTAAGCCAATGTTAATGCAAAGACCTGCTATTAAAAAGACTTGGATAGTACACTGAAACTGCGAGCAATCCAACTTTTCGGTAAGAGAAAAAGTAAGCTTCCAAACTTATCAGTTACAAACTCATTAGGTATGGGACCGCAGACTGAGAACAACATTAATAAAAAACCAATGAATTGATGTACTCAAAAAATGCGTTATTCATAAAGGATAAATTATTTACTCATTCATGAATTTGTGTGTAGTTCGCGGTAAAGAATGCTGATAATTCAAAATGTAACTGACTAATCTAAAGGTTATCGAACATAAAATACAGCATTCTAAGAAGTTCCGATTCAGTGTGGTCACTCATTTCGGTACGAGAATATCTCAAGCATAAAATTTAAGTACTAACAATTGGACTTACAACTGATTTAACACTGAATCTATTTGAGTGAACCGTTTTTAAGATATTGAAAATTTTTTGTCTGCATGTTTTTTTCCGATAGATTTTTTTTGAGGATCTATATCTCAGTAAATATTGAAAATGGTGTTTAAGAAGGATAAGGAAATATTAAAGACATCAACTAATCACAGTTTAAATGATTACATTTTTTACTGTCTCCTATCATCGACTATAATTTCTAAATAAAGATATAATTAAGGGAATTATATTTATAAATATTAATATCAAAATAAAATACTGATTTTTATAATACGAGCATTTTTTACTCAGGATATTCAAGTCAATATTTATTCAGCCGGTATTTATATACCGATTATTCGCAGTGTATTATCTGTAGATTATGCTGTCATGTGGGATCTATTGTTACTGGCGGAAATTTTTCTAAAGAGCCTGCAAACAGTGCAGTATCTGGATACCTATGGCATAACGCAGTGTTATGCTAATATGTCACATAACCACGTAAAATAATTAGAACTGTTGCTACCATCAGAATTAATAACTTGTATCAAATCTTTGTCATTTTTAAAAAAGGTATGGTTCTATAACATATACAAACCAAATGCCACACCATCCAGACTAAATAATATCTCGTACATGCAATGGTCTTTCGATAGCTTCTTGTGAATTTTTACTGTTCCAGATTCCAGATATAACAATCACTAAAAAAAATTAGGTGCGATAAATTGTCTTTATTTTTGTAGGAAGGTTCACAACTTTAATATATAATGCACTCTATGACAATTGTGTTTTACAAATGTCATTGATACAGTGCTGCCAAAACAAAAGTATAACATAAAAACCACTTTATATAGAGGCCTTTTGAGTCTACTTAACCTTGGGATATGTTGCTTTGATCCGAGAAATAAAGAATTGCTTGAAGTAGGGTGTATATTTTTAATGTTTACCGGAACA